CAAAGTTTCACTGGGATAATTTAGTATGAAATTAAGTGTTTTTGAAGAAAGAAATAGATCTGGGTGAGCATGATGGGTCATTCCAAATCAATTGCTGCTAGTGGCAGAAAGAACATTGGCTTACTTTCCCTTTTTGTTTCAGTACTTCTGTATTGCTAAGACCTGCTGTACTGTCATTTTCCTCCTGTGTGGTTTTCCCCAATATCCACTGAGATGACTTATCATTTTTAATGCTTTAATTTCTGGTGATCATTTTTCACACCTGCAGAGTTTTTCATAGCTTATTTACAGTGTCTTCCCTTCTTGATTAAAGTGACAAGTGAAAACAAACAAAAACCTAAACAATTTTGGTTTTGCAAGATCTGGGTGAATTGTCCTGGCAGAGCTGATTCCGCAAGGAGAAGAAGGGAAGAGCAAATGGTTTAGAAATCTGTCAAGAGTCTTAGTTCTTAAAGCGTGGATGATCCTAGTCTATCACCAGATAGCATCCCTGTGGTCCACCTGTGGGCAGCTGCAAGACCTTAGGACCAAACACCATTTTTGTACCCAGAAATACCTTCACATTAGAGATGATCTTCAACTCAGTGTTTTCGCCAAGGTTATGCTTTTTCTTGTGTGACTTGAGAAGCGCAGAAAGACCAAAGTTAGACAAGGATGCATCCCCACTCTCTGCTCTTGATTGTGCTATGTAAGATTATTTTCATGATGCAGAAGTATGTGAGTCAGCCAAAATGTTTGCATGTTCATCAGGAGGAAGTGAAATGGTTTCTGAACTGAAGCATGGAGAAAGCATTTCTTGCAACCTGCAGAATCAGGAGTGATTCTTTCATACTTCCTTGCTAAATGAAGGGGCAGCACTTTAAACAGTGGCAGAAGCTGGTGTGCTTGCCAGCCTCCTACAACATCTTGCCTGCCCCATCGTGACTGTGTTGGTCCTGCCTGATCTCAGACTGAGCTGTTCAATGCTTCCTTAGCCAGCTGCTAGCCTTCTATAAGCTATCTATCATTTTTCTATGACATAATTGACTCTGTTTGCTGAGAAGAGCCAAGTGATTCTCAAAGTCATTCCAGTGCAGTGTGTATCAGTCTGTCTCATAACTTTTCCAAGGCTCGCATTTTTCTCTTGTGAAAAATGAAGGCAGACTCAGACATGAATCTAAAATTGTATTCCAAACCCCCAAAATCTTCAAGATCTTGGGGGAATTCAGACAAATGTTCCGGATTTTACTTTCTGTTCTGAAGTCTTGTTGTTGTGTGTGGTGTTGAAGAGCTATCAAAAGGATATTTTGCTACTGAATTTGGGAACGGGAAATGTTCCCATTCCCATCCAGACAGAAATACAGATGACCAGAAATTTCATAATAGTTTTAGAAAAGTGTTACTATTACATTCTTAAACGTACATAATCCCCATGTAGATGATATCAGTAACATTAAACTCCTGTAAGCAGGGTGCCCTCTGTAAAGGATACTACACTTGCACAGATGTTAATTGTAGAAATTGAGTAACAACTGCATTAGTCATCTGTAAAAACTGAACTTGAAGCTTCTGGCTGTAGCAGTATAGGCATCTAGTGCAGGTTACACGTGCATGCATAAATATATTACCTGAAATATTTTGAATTCTGTAATTGAAATTATTTGCATTGCACTGAACAGCTTTCTTAGCATAATATTGATAGAACTAAATTCCTTTGTAGTATGACTCAAGTGAGCTCTCTTCACTGAAGTTAATACTGAGAAAAATATGGGATCCTGTTGGTATGGACAGTTATAAAATGTAGCTCCATAATAAAGAAACCAAGACCAATAGCAAGGCCTTTTTTTCCCCATGACAATCTTTCTCTGGCTGGCAGCATGAAAGGGAAACAGAGAAGGTGCCTGATGAATGCTCTTTATGTCATGCCAAGAGAGAATTCCTTAATCTTGTGGAATGAATGATGTGGGATATATAACACTTCTCAAAGTGGGAGTATAGCATGTCACAGCTAGCTTACTTGCCAGGCAGAAAGCCTGGGGAGGGGTAAATCTGCCTCCTCACCTGCTAAACATACTTGGCATAAACTGACTGTTTCTCACAAATATTTCTCCCCCTTTTCAACAAATTCTCACCTGTTCTCTCCCCTGCACCTTTGAAATAGCATAACATAAGTTAGGTCTTCAGGTATCTCCACAGAGACCTATAGAGGCTATTTTTTTCATAGGGATTTCTCAGACAAAACCAGATGTGCATGTTCTGGATAGCACATTGTACACCAAATCTGAGGCTCTTTCGATCTTTAGACTTGCTCTGCAAGGTGGTATAATTGGTCTGTGAATGTATAGTAAATCAAAAAGGCTCCTCTTGCATAAAAAGTCCTGCACAGGTGATAATCTATAATATACACAACAACAGGCCTTGCGCTTCTTGGAAGCATCAGCCTTACTGTGTGTGAAGCATAGAGATGATCTGCAGGTGTGCAATAGGTGAGTCAATGATAGTTGGACATCTATCAGCCATGCTCAAAGCCACAATCCTAGTCAGACTGTCTGACATCTGAAAATCCTGAAGAAATGTATGAAATCTGTGTTTCTTTCCCACACACATTTTTTGAACAGAAAAAGAATAAATGTTGAAGGAAACCTAGGTATATGGCAACCTGGCGCAGAAGATATTGTCTCTGTAAGAGAGGCAGAGATAAAGGCTGGCTGAACAGTCTATGCTTTCAGAAACTAGAGTTTGGAAAGAGAATAATCTGAAGCCATGATGCAGGGCTTTTCCTGGGAAGCAGGAGACAGGTGGGCTCCACTGAAACAAGGGAGAATTGCATTTGCTTGCTTATTCTTGCTTTTCTCATATACTTACAAGATTATGAGCATACCTGGACATGTCAGCATTATTAATAGCAACATAATAGCATAGGTTTTGCATGTGTGATTTATAAGGGTGATGGGATCGAATCTCTTTGCTTCTCTAAATTAATCTGGGTTAGGTATTCCTTTGAGAAAATATAGGTTTAAACTAGATTAAACAATTGGATCACTTTAGATTTCCTTGTTCATGTTATTTTATTTCCACAACACAATTTATTATCGGCAAATGTCCTCACAGAGAACATGGCAAACAGCTGTAAAACTAGGGAGAAGCATTATACATGTAGGAAGCATAATTTTAATTACATAGAATTACATTATCCCTTTGATATCGCTTGAAAGATGCCTTACCAATATATGCATTTTATTTTGGTAATGACCAACATAAAATGCAACCCTCACATGAGTTCTTTGTAAAGAAAACCTAACTGTTGAATCCAATACTGTTACAGTGTGACAGCAGTGCAAGAAGATGGATGGTTCTGATGTGAACATCAGAAAGACCTGGCTTTTATTCCCAGTCATGTCATATATGTTTTGTGCAGCTTGGTGCATGTCCTTTCCCCCTCTTTGTATCTCTGCTGCTTCTCACACCATTTTCTTGGCTTGCCTATTCAGAACAGCAGGACCCCAGGACAAGAACAAGGACTGGTGCTTCCCAAATGTTTGCAAAGCAATCCAACAAAAACAGTCTTTCAGGTTCATGACAAAACCTTTCAGTCCTCTCATAAAGAAGAAATGCTAGTACTTGGTTGTCTCCCAGGTGATGGGTTTTGAAGTGCTTTTGCCAGAAATGCACATGGTGTAGCTAGATTATTTTTTTTTCAAGTTACCAATGAATGCTTAATATCTGTTTTTCTCCAGTAACAGGAAACCACTGCAGCAGTAATTTGGGCATTCTGTCACAGACTGTGTCTATTTACAATTGTAGATGGTAGGAAGAGACCACAAGAAAACATCTAGGGGTCAGAAACCTGTCAAAGTTTGCATATTAGATCTGATTTCTTTTTTCCTGCTTTGAGGTTACATGCTTAATGTGAGCTGAGAGACACTTCATCCAGTGACGACACTCTCATGATGCCATGACTCCCAGCTCCAGATGCTACATATGCCTTTCAAATATGTGTCTGCAAGTCATTATGTAGACTTGCCTCACAAGCTGTTGCCCTTTGGTCTAGAAACCCCCTTCCCAAACACACTTAACAGTACTGAAATGATGCCTTTTCCAGCTGCGTTTAAAACAATCAGTGCTAAAGACTCAGTGGCCTCCACTGACACTAAGGCTTTCTTAGCCTAGCCTAGCTAGGAAGTTTTTCCTTATATATAGCAGAAACGGTAACCCTAGATACTACTTAAGCTCCCTGCTCCCCTTGAAGCATTGAGACTTAGTTACTGCCTTCCACTAAGCAGCTACCTTTCACATATTTGAAGACTGTTGTCATGTTTCTTCCCAGTCCTCTTTTCTCTAGATTAAACAAATCCAGTTGAGATTTCCCTCCAGGGTCAGTTTTTTAACTTTCAGTACATTCTGTTGTTCTCAGGACTTTCCCTAATTGTCCATTCCTCTGTTGCATTCAGTGACCAAAGTGAATCAGCCCATTTTCCAGTTTTAGACCTCACCGGTGCCGAGTAGGAGTGGAAGAATTATTTCACATATCCCACCTAGCCAGTTTATACATTTCAGCACAATACTTGCTTTCCCACACCAGCATGGCATTGTTAATTCTTCGTCAGCTTGAGTTCTTCCAAAGTCCCCATGGCATTTTTGTGCAGGTCTTTTGCCTTGCTGGCTGCTTTCCATTTGGGGGTTTATTCTTCCCTAAGTGTAATAGTTTACACCTGTTCTTGCTGCACCAAATCCTATTGTTTTCAGACCATTTCTTCAATTGATCAAGATGTGAATCCTGCCAAGGTGCTTGCAGAACTTTCTCTACAAATTTGGCAGCCACACTTCATATGCCCTTTCCAAAGCACAATAAAAATAGTGAGTGTTAAGAGTCCCAGAAAAGGCATCTGTGGAACTTCTTTCCATAAGCCTTCCACTTCAACAGTGAGCCGATGATAATACTCTTGTAGTACTTTTTTCTTTTCCTGAAGCAGCTATGAGTCCACCTTACAACAATCTCGTTTTAGTTTGCTTACAAAAAATCACAACAGCCTGTGTTGAAAGCCTTGTTCAAATCAAGATATGTTAATATCTATTGTCCATAAGACCTGCTACTTGTCAGAGAAGGAAATTAGCCTTTGGTTCGGCACGATTTGTTCCTGGCAAATCTTTTTTGGCCTCTACTTATCATTTCATTATTTCCCATACACAAAAGAAAACTTTAATTACTTGTTTCTATGTATTTCCAGCAATTCAAGTCAGGCTGTTTTCTCCACCTATATTCTTCAAGATGCTTTTCTTCTTTCTAAAAGTCGAGTACTGCAATTACCTGTCATGGCTCTTCTGTCCCCCAGGTGCTGTGGGAAAGGATCCCTTGTTGCTTTAGGATTGCTTCAGCCAGCACTTCCCACGTGCTCTCAAATGGTTTCTCTTCAAGTCTCACTGACTGGAAAATACCTGACTTAGTGAAGTAGCCTATTCTGTTATTTCTGTTATTTAGCTTTAGACATTACTGGTTAGTCAACTGATCATAGTTAATCCTTTTTGCTGAGGACTGAGAGGAAAAAGACATTAATCACTTTGGCTTTTTTCTCTGTCACCTCTTACTAGCTTTCCATCCTTGTCAAAGGGCAGATAATTTTTTTTTGCCATTGTGCTCCAACTTCTAATGCATAGAAGTGCCTTCTTGTTACCCTCTTTCCTTTGCTAATAATATTGACATTTTTGTATTTTCCTTTATGATTTTATTCTTACAGGCTCCTTTTATGTTTTATTCTTGTTCCTGCTCATGCACTTAGAGATGTTTCCTCATTATCTTGTATTCCCCATAAACCACCATTTGTTACCGTTACTTTTGGAATTGTATCACTGACCCGCCTACCTCCTAGTTTAAAGTCTTACACAGTTGAGCCCTCTTTTCCCACTTTTTTCCCTAGGCCCCACTGGCACTCAACAATTCTTGAAAACTCACCTCAGCCATCCTGCTGATCTCACCTTCCCAACCATGCATTAATTTCCAGTGTGTCAGTGCCAGGGCATTTACCTGGAAGAACTGGACCCTATCGGAACTTCTGACTCCTCCCCTGTAACTTCCAGCACCATGCAGCTGTATTTGATTTGCCCATGGTTGTAACTGGCAGAACCATTAACATACCTGCAAAGGAGCAGTAGTAAGAGGGCCTCAGTGAGAGGGCCAGATGAGTCACATCAACCTTACTGTACCATCCACTTGGATGCACACCAAATCCACTTGGATTTGGGTTTGTGGTGGGCAGGCACCTTCTGGGATATCAGGCTGAGCAGCAAATAAGATGCCTTTTCCTCCTCTTTCCATGTAAAAGAAGCCATAAGATACATTTTGTTACCCCCTGGGTGCAATGGCTTTGGGATGGGCTTGGGTGGGAATTATGTGTAGTTTAAGGTTTTGTAGATTCTGGTTACTCAGCCTGAGACAGTTAATATTTCAAGTGAATATTTGAAGAAGGTGGTATGTTCTTCATTCGGAACACTTTATATGTCTAGCACCCCATTGAATTCAGTTTCATCTGGGATCATTCAGCACTCCTTCAAATTAGACCACAAAATGTCAATCCAGATATGCAGAAACTAGGAGCATGAAATTCGTAGCCACCTGCAAGAAGTGTGGTTTAACTGACTTATCCAGCATCATACAAGAACTATGTGGCAAAGGATGGACTGAATCCATTCCTCAGGCAGCACTCAGCTATTTTAACCAACATCTCATCCTTTTCCACATGATCCTGTACTGTCATTTACCGCACATCTTCCATTTGCCGAAACAAATGTGGAAAAACTCCTGTAGACAGCGGCCTCCTCCACTGTGTTGCCCTGACACAGCTCCAGAGCAGCTCCACCCTGACAAATAAATGTGGCAGAGATCCCATGGAAAGAAAAGTATGCAATTATACACTTTGCATATGCATATGCAAAGGAGAGGAAGGAGAAAATAACACTCCTCATCATGTAGTATTGATTTTGCAACCTAGTCCTCATTTAAAGCAGATTTTGTCTGTGCAATTATCTAGCTTTTTAAAAAGCAAACAGTAAAAAAAAATAATCAAACCCCCTTCCATCATGCAGCATCTTATTGTTGTAAATGTCATTAGAGCTGAACCCTTTAGCTTTACCACAGAGCTCTCTGTGACTCTGAGCTAACAGAGAGACTGATAAGAGCAGTGAGTTCTCATCCATGGGTGGCCAGCAGGAATATTAGACAAATGGACTTTGCTGGGGGATTCATGGGTATTTGCTGACAAGAGGAGGGCTTGTAGTGGGGGGGTGAGTGGGGTTGGGGAATCTAGAGATCTGTGGTTTTATTAGAAGGTATGAAAACCATGATTCTTCCTGTCCTCTTCTAGCACAGCCCATTCAGCTTCCTACTACCCTGTTTTCCCTGTCCCAGTCTTCTCTGAGACTGCCAAGTGTTTCTCCATCCAAGTCTTCTTCCATCCAATCTTACTTCCCCCTTTCTCCTTACCCTCTCTTCTATATCCTCTCATTAAATCCTAGGCCCACATTACAGACACCTCCAGTCGTTCCCTCTTGTCCCTGCTGCGGTCCCTCTGGCCCACACTTTACCCTGACAATCCCACTTTTCCTTCATTTCTCAGCTCTGTTTCCTTTCAGTCCTGCCTCCAGGAGCAACCTTGCTCATGTGTCTAAGAGCCACATTCCAAACCAGAAACTTCAGGAGCCCTGTGTACAAGCTTACAACAGCCCCACCTTTTAATACTACCTCCTTCACAGCAGCGTTGCTCGCTCATCTGCTCCCTTGGGACCAGATGACTCCAGATATTTCACTGTTCTGACTCAGCTCCACCTGTCACCTCTCTGGAGTATGTCAGGACCACAGTCATTGCAGTGACTGCAGAGCCATGCAGCTATTTCCATGCAGGCTTTGTACTCCTTAGTTCATCTGCTGTTATCTCAAATGTATAGTGCTCATCTGCAAACCTTAGTGAGGAGGTGAGTAAATACTGGGGAGAATAGGCATGTATCTGTATTTGTATCCCTATCTATAGTCCATAGACAAACACCAGTACAAGCAAAGAAAACCACACTTGGCAGAGTAATTTTTCTTTCCACAGGCAATTCCTGTTTTTTTACTAACTCCTCTGAAAATCTGTCCCAATCTGAAATTCAAGACAGTAAACATGATAGTCCTAAACCTGTATAAATTCTGACTTTACTTTGATATTGTGCAACATATCACAGCTAGAAATTAAAGCTTTTAAAAGGAGAGAACTGGCTTTTCCATGGTGCACAAAGTGTATGTTGCAAAACTAGGTATATTCCACATAAAAAAGATCACTGGAGCACAACATAGTTCTGCTTAGAGAGGCTATTAATGGTAATGTTGAGGTTTTAAAAGTGCAGTGTTTTTTCTTTCATTTCCCCTCTTAATCCTGCCATGCTGGGCTAGCTTCTTTGTCAGACATCTGTGAGATATCCCATGCCATTTTTTAATTGCCTAAAACATTTCCAATAGCTTTTTCACAGAACAGGTTCTGTATTTACATATGTACATGGATTGCATGAGGACATATTTTTATCTTACGCTTTATTAGAAAGAGTGAGGGTATTCATTAGTGCCCTCTGTGCTGCATAGGGATGGATGTGAAAGATACCAAGATGAAGAGAAGATGGTTTGCCTTTGCAGCACACCCAATCTCAAGCATAAAAAAGTCATGACTCAAGCCTCTCAAAAGTCAAAAGTTTTGAGAGCCAACCTGCCTGTATTAGGGGAGTTTATATTTCCTTACTGAGTATTTAGGGCATGGCCACTATGTGTTTTTCAGATCTTCCTCCATAACTGTGAAGTTTTAAATATTAAATGTGAGTTTCTTATGGTCTTTGGATACTTGTGGTTAACACTTAGAAGAATAAACAAACTTGTGAAATTACTAGTAGCTCAAACCTGGTGGACCAGTAGTAAGAAAGTCAGAAAGCATTAGGCACTCCCATAAAGATACGGGGCATCGGAGACATATGTGGTAGTCAGTCCATGAGTGTTCATAGCTATACAGAGGCATGATGCATGAGAACTGATGGCTGTAAATGTGCAGCATTCAGACAGTCACTGTATTTCAAATCATCACAGAATGGTTTGGGTTGGAAGGGATCTTGAAGATCATATAGTTCCAACCCCCCTGCCATGAATGGTGGACTTGGCAGTCCTGGGGTGGAAGTCTGACTTGATGATCTTAAAGGTCTTTTCCAACCTAGTTGATTCTATGATTCTGTGGGCAGGGGTACCTTCACAGAATCATAGAATTATAGAATAGTTAGGGTTGGAAAGGACCTTAAGATTATCTAGTTTCAACCCCCCTGCCATGGGCAGGGACACCTCACACTAAACTATGTCACCCAAGGCTCTGTCCAACCTGACCTTGAACACTGCCAGGGATGGAGCATTCACAACTTCCTTGGGCAACCCATTCCAGTATCTCACCACCCTTACAAGAAAAGAACTTCTTCTTTATATGCAATCTAAACTTCCACTAGACCAAGTTGCTAAAGGCCTCATCCAGCCTGGCCTTGAACACTTCCAGGGATGCGACAACCACACTTTCTCTGGGCAACCTGTTCCAGTGTCCCACCACCCTCACAGTAAGGAATTTCTTCCTTCTACCTAATCTAAATCTACCCTCTTCAGCTTAAGTCCATCCTCCCTTGTCTTGTCACTGCACACCCTTGTAAAAAGTCCCTCTCCAGATTTCCTGTAGGCCATTTTTAGGTACTGGAAGACTGTTGTAAGGTGTCCCCAGTCTTCTTGTCTCCAGACTGAACAAGCCCAACTCTCTCAGCCTGTATTCGTAGGAGAAGAGACCCTCAGGCACACAGATCTCACTCAGTGAGTATATATAGGAATGCCTGTCTGGGAGCATGTTTATTAGATCTGATGCACAAGTGTTTTTGCATGTGTGAGCAAATCCCAGGCACAGATGTATATTTGTGGGGCTTGCATGTGGAACGTAGAAGTAAGCTTGAATGGTGAATATAAATGTATAACCAACTGAGAATCAAATATTGGCATTTGAAAGTGTCACTAGATATTTCAGTGTATAGACTTGGGGATTTGCATAAAGTTCTGTGTCTGAGAAAGACTTCAGCAACAGGGATTGAATCCTTTTCCTTTTTTTCTGGCAAAGGAGTGTTTTAAGCAGGTAGACCGTTGGTAGCACGGCAGGGTGTAAGGCTTTCATGTGGGAAGAGAACAGCATGGCTCATGTGTGACTGTGCCATCACTGGCAGGGTGCACTGAGAATGTGGGAATGGCTGTCCAGTTGTTTGTGTATGGCAGGGTACCTGGCGATTCTCACCTTCATTGGGGACCATCACTTACAAAGTGCCTGGATCACCTCTGGAACTCACCAGGCATCTATTAGAACATGGATGAAACTCAGGCCAGACAAGACTGTGCTGGGAAAAAAAAAGGCAAGCAAAGTAACCCAGGGAGAGCTTGTATGTGGTAAGCACCAACAGGCAGCAAATTATACCTGTCAGCTGACTGCCAATTACTGCCTGAGCCTTGCTTGAGGTGTGGGAGTTTGGGAATATATGTAAATACTCCTGCACAGGGAACGCATCCTGAACTGCTAGCAGGACACAAAACAATTCCTAGCACCCAAGCAGGCTTTGTTGTGCCTGTAGGGCAGGGTACCTGTAGGGAACTCCCTACAACTTGCATCTGCTTAAGATGAGGAAGGCCCACAGCAGTACCAGTGCTGGTTGTGCTGCAAACCACGATGGAAAGTGCTGGTAAACGTTTTCAGTTAGCAATACCTTGGATTCATTTCACCAACTATGGTACTACTCATCGGCAAGCAGAGCAAACCCAAGCCATGCTGCTTGTTGGTGTAGAAGGGCATAGCTGGGGTTCCCAGGTCAGGTACTGAGGCCTCTCTCAATAGGGCAGGGCTGGGATTTCATAGATAGATATTTTACTTCAGTTTTTTAAAATCGAGTTCTGACTTCTCTGCTTCCCTTTCCTCTTCAGCCACGGTGGCTTTGCTTGCCCATCCCCTGCCTCGCTCTTTCTCTGAGAGCAGCCGTGATGTGGACTTCAAAACCCCAGGCAGAAACTTGGCATAAGTTTGCCCTCCTCAAGCCACCCAGTGTATCGGGCATGCTGAGGTGTGAGGGAAGGGGCTACCCCCAGAGGAATGAATCTCTTTTGTGGCAGAAAGAAATACTGTTGAAACAAGCCTGATGTACCACCAGGCTCTCCAAGTGCCCCTCTTTAATGGATGCAGGCTTCTCGCACAGCCACAGCTGGACGCTGGTGTCAGATGTGCTGCTGATAGAGGGCATCTGTGTGCCTGACCTTGATCGCTGCATGGGAGTACAATGCCGAGGGTGCCCACCCACCACTGCCAGCTGGGAAACATTTGCCCAGAAGGTCCCTCACTCCCTCCGGGAGCACACAGGCGCCAAGGTCAGCTATGCAGTTCCACCTCCGCCCCACCAGTCCTCCTCCGAGTCCCAACACCCAGCCCACTTCAGGTGGACCACCTCCACCTGCGCTTGTCAGGGACAACCAAGGCGCCGGGCCATAGAAGGTTCTGGAAAAGCTGAGGGTGCCCCACACATGTAGCCCCAGCCTCCCACGGCACCCTCACCTCGCCCTCCACCACAGGGCAGCTTCTGCCTCGCCGTGCAGCCCGCGGCCGCTGCCAGCCCACCCAGGTGCCGGGGGACGATGGCCGCAGGCCCGCGTCCGCCCGCGGCTGGCAGCGAGGCGCAGGGCCCCCTGCGCTGTCCTCCCCCCGCAGCATGTGCGGTCTCGGGTGTGTGTGTGTGCGCGGAGGGGGGAGCGAGGGGGCGGACACAGTGGAAATTTCCACTCCCTGCAGCAGCCACAGCCACCGCCGCGGCGGCGGGAAGGCGGGCGCAGGCCCTGAGCCGCCGCGTGGGGGGGGGAGGCGGTGCCTGCGGCGCGGCGCGGCCCGCCCGGCTCAGGTCCGCTCCCCGGCGGCTGGTGTCCCGTTCCCTTTCCCTTCCTCCCTACCGGCCGGCCCCCCTTCTCCCCGGACCCGGGCGGTGGCAGCCCCACAGCGGGCGGGCGTGTGCACGGCGGAGGCGGCGCTTGGCGCGGAGAGGGGGCGGTGCGGCGGAGCCTGCGCAGCTGCCGGCGCCCTTTAAGCCGCGCCGCCCGCTCGCCCGCCTGGGTGTCTGTGCAGCTCGGGAGCCGCGCGGGCAGGAGCCGTTACCCGTACCGCGCCTCCCTCCTCCGGTTTCCCTCTTCTCTGCATCGCTGCCCCCTCTTCCCCACTCTCTGACCCGCCGCATCCCCGCTCCTTCCGCCACAGCCAGCTCTAAGATGCCCCGCTATGAACTGGCTTTGATCGTGAAAGTCATGCAGAGGGTGAGTGAGGGAGGGGAGACGGGGGGGGAGGGAGCCAGGTGGGACCCGGCAGACACTTTCTCCCTGCCCCCGGCGTCCCCTTGGTGCCTTTTCTCGCCACCGCGTGCTGCCCGGTGGAGCACGGGACTGCGCGGCCGGTCCCTTCCCGGGGGCGAGCGCTGCCCTCCCTGGCCTCTCCCTCCGCGCCATGCAGCGGGGCCGCACAAGGCGCCTTGGATCCCCATGTGTCTTTCTTTGCCTTCTCTCCCCTTTCTCTTTTTCCTCCCTACTCCCTTGGAGAGTTTGCTTAGTAGCTGCCCTCGAGCCGCAGTCACCTTCTTTCCCCCCTTCCCGTTTGGTCCGCAGGTAAGCAGATCCCCCGCTGTGCGAAATCGATGCGTTTCTCCCTCTCTTATCCCGCCCTTCCCTCCCTGCCCCTTGCCTGGTGCAGGTCAATTTAGCCCTTTCGTTGTCCCTATGCGTTGGTGCAGGCAAGTCCCCCTCTCCTCCTGCAGCACCAGCGCTTCCCATTGCCGTGTGCCAGTGCCTCATCTCCCCCCCTCCCCCAGCACCTGCTATGGCTTTGCTGGGCACCTCGCTAGGTCGCAGCAGCCCCATGCTAGGTCCCCTCTCCTCTGCGAGGCCTTGCGGGGAGCCTCCGTGGGGCAGAGCGAGGGCTTGCTCTGGCAAGCTTCCTCTCACGGGAGGCCAGCTCCAGCCTCTCCGGCCCTCTCCGTACCAGAGGAGTCTCGAGAATTAATTATTCCTTATTTTTACTTCCCTGCCGTTGCTAGCACCAGTTGAGCTCTGCTGATATGGCTCCCCGTATCATCCACGGCAAGGGTTGCTAGCCGTTGCCGCTGTTTTTGGTGGCATAATGATAAACCGTGGTGTGAGTGAGGTTATGTGATGCTCTTTTTACGAGAGCTGAATCTGTGCAGGGGGTGTGTGCACTTGTGTATAGAAATAATAAAATAGAAGCACCTCTGTGTAGACGGGACCCTTTATTTGGAAAATAATAGCTGATACCAGGTCTTCTTTGCCACCTTCTCTACCCTTTATCTGCTACTTTCCAGCTTAATATGCAGTGCTGGTGTTGGAATGTAGCAGCACTTCTGCTAGTCTGTAGCCTTCCGATCTGACACATCTGACACAGTGCAGACATGCTTGCTCTTGCATTTAATCTTCATTTAAATGAACATGTGTATCTGTTGTAAAATAGCAGGAAGCTAAATAACTTTGCCGTATTTCTTTTGTTGTTATAGGAGCATGTCTTCATGTGTTATATGTGCTACATCTACTAGTACATTTCCATTCATTTTACATGTACCATCCACATGTCGGGATTGGTTTTTTTTTTAACTTGGTTTAACTGCAGAAGCTTGTAGTAGACTTCTCAGGTGAGTCCTCTAGTGGAGAAATACAGCAACAGGGAGAAAAAAATCTGGTGACATTGCTGCACCACTTCGCAGAGCAGCATTTGCTCTGACAAAACATGATGCATTTGAACTTGGGTTGTCAACATGTAATTATTTTTTCTTTTTCCCCACACCCCTAGCCATCAGTGTATGAGCCATAGGTAAGGCGTTGAGATGCTTTTTGTGAACATGCTGTTAGTGTGGGAGATGTATTATGCCACGCAGACTCTATAAATGCGGAGTAGGGCAGAAAGTGTAGCAAATATGACATAATGCCGAGATACAAATGAACTGACTACTCGGAAAGGATGTTAGGGAGTGCTTTCTGGTGCAAAGGATCATTCAGGGTTAAGCTTTTAGCTGCAAGATGCTTCTAATAAACATGGATGCACTCAGGTTTTAACATCTGCAATGTTCTCCTCTGAAGTTTAACTCTAGTATAGTCTTTCCTGATAGATGTATTTTAAGGTGTTCTTTTAGCTCCATGGTTATGTTAAACTGCTTAAGTTTTGGTTCAGGTGTACTGCTGTTTTTAACCTACACCTGTTGTATTCTAGATGCTTTTTTTTTTTTGTTGCTGTTGACAGTACACCAGGTCTAGGTGCTTTTTTTTTGTGTGTTCCAGTGTCTTGCTACTGCTGCTGCTCTTGTGTAATGAGAACACTTGGAAAAAAAATCCTGTAGTGCTTATATGCTTCATGGTGCTGCTGAATCCTGGGAATGGGGTTACTTTAATGACCCCCTTAGCAGTGCATAATCTCAACTGAAATGCTAACTTCAGTTAGCCAAAACATGGGAGATCTGAATATGTGGCTGATAAACCAGTCTGAAATTATGGAGTGACTAAATAACTCCTTCCTTTACAAGTTGGGGAGATCACGTACAGGCCTGAATAAATTGTATTGCTTCTTGACACCAGTGTTTCTCAATGAAGCTACCGCGGGCAAGGTGTTCACTGTCCGGCTGTGTCAGTCCCTCTGTGCGGTGGCTGTGTGCTGCAGTGCCTGCTTTAGGCTGAGGCTTGAGCAAGCGCTGACTCCTCTGTTGGTGTCTGTGTTATCCTTCCTCATCTCTGATAGTTCCCCTGCTTTGCAGGGAGAAGAAAAAAGTAAACTGCTGCTGCTCAGCTTCATTGCCCTTCAGGGCTGTCACTAATTCCTGTGAGCTCCCTGGCAGCTTGAGTGCAAACCTTCTCATAGTTACAGTCTGGTAGACTTTCACGGCTCTCTTCAGAGGCAAACTTTGTGATTCTGTGGGGTTTCCCTTACCCACAATTGTTTTTAATAGTTACCTTGGCATTTTAATAGATCTAGGCAGAATAAATCCCTCAATTTTTTTTTTTTTTAATAAACTCTGTTCCTTAGAACTGCTTGTTCAAGTTGAGGATTCCTCCTCATTCTGTTCCTGCATGTGGTTTCTGTTGTGAGCTGTGGAGCTTGCTGTGCAGCTGATCTCCCTATACAGCTAGCGTCAGCATGGGCACAGGGCAAGCATGACCCCTTGGTCCTGCCTGATGCTGTAGTGTCTGCTTGGCAGACTCTTCAGCTTTCCTTTTGTGTCTTAAAAATGCAAGACCCAAAGGCTTGGGGGTAGGGAAAAGCGGCAAAGGGAGAAACTTTTACTTTCCAACTTTGTCATCAGTTGTCTGCATGTAGTTGTCACAAGAGCTTGTGACTTTGTTCTGAAGTCAGAACTGCGCACTCTCTGTCCTGTTGTGTAGGTAGTGTATGAGCCTGTGGACAGGGTCCTTGATCAGCAGAGACCCCAGTCAGTGACTCTTAGGAAGACAGTAAGAAAAAATGTAAAAATAAAAAAGCACTGCAGAATAAATAAAACCCCATACTTCTCTGTGGTATCACTGTATTCAAAGAGTAGTCGCAGTGAGGGCTTGGAGTGTGTTCCTCCATGTGTGAGTATATGGAGGAAACGCTCTGAGAAAATAAAGGTATGAGGCCAGTGAAGTGACAGGAACTTAGAGTGGAAATAATGAATTTTGCCCACGTGTGTGGCTTTCTTAACTCCAACATGCAAATGACAAATAGTAGGGTGAGCTTGGGGAGTTTAATGGCAGACTTGCTATCAGTTTTGTGCAGACATATGTAAACAACATGTTGCCTACCCTCTGGAGCCTGAGTGAAAGACCACAGTTGTGGTGAAGGTAGAGGTGCAAAATGAAGACGCAGCTGTTCATGTTCTAAACTTTACTATTCATAGCAAAAGATGAACTTCTAATTATTTCTGTCTTTCTCCCAGGAGAGTCATCTTTGGCTTTCAGCTGGGGGACTGTGGCAGGGCAGGACCTTCAGCAGGAAAGGGTAGTGACCCGCTAGTGCATTAGCAGGAGTTGTGGCTGCCTGGAGAGAGCTTTTCAGAGAGGCTTCCTCTTCCTACCCTTCTCGTTCTGCCAAAACGCTTTCGAGAGCCCGGGGGAAGGAAGTGTGTGGAGGGGGGGAGGGAAGGGAAGGAAGAGCTGGAAATGGCTTCCTATTGCTCTGATGCTGTTTTACAGACTGACCACAGGGCGGCAATGCGAGATACCCTCCAAGAAAATTTGGCATCCTGGGGAACCTAGGACAGAAAGAGAAGGTGGCGGTATTTCCGTGCTGCTCTTGGTGCTGCTCGACTCTTGCTAGTGGGGACACCCGTCTTCAACAGAACAACTTTGTAACTAGAACTGAAGTGAATGGACAGTTTGAAAACACTTTATATTCGAGTAATTTGCTAAAAATGAAGCGTATCAATATTTTATTAGTGACATACTCTTCTCCCCCACTTCACCTGTAACAGATGACAAATACATAGTACTGTGTCATAGTCTAAAACCTGATTACCTTGTTTCAGTAAATACTAGACTAGTGGACCCATCCACTCACCTCAGTGCATCTGGGCTCTCAGTTTGACTGGCATGTTCACACAACATAACTTGTCTTCAGCATCTGTTTGTTGCCTTTGGAGTGGATTGTTTCAAAAATTCCCTACCTGCTGTGGAAATTGTTAGCTATTTTAGGAAAGCTGAAGTACTGGGCAGTAGTGTTGCTTGACATCTTGAATATTGCACTTAATTGCTGTGTAGGCAGCTGTAGCAATTGGGCTTTTGATATTGTAGTTGCTAGGAAGAAG